CTCACTCACTTTGCTGCGTTGGTTTCAAAGCGGTTGGGCAACTCAGCATGTTGCTGACACAGGCAGCCTGGCACATTGCTCTGATTTCATCACAAACTGATGCGTCTGTTCCCAAACAAACACAAATGCAGCCTGCAACAAGCAGAACAAGGTTGAAAAATATTTAAAATTTAATAAACTGAAAAGTCATTCAATGGAAAAGGGTAAGATACCGTTTCTGATTCCCAACAGGAACGGCATGTTGTTTTCCTTTAAAGCCAAATTCAGCTCCTCTGAGCTATAAAACACACAAAGTGAGTCAAAACAGAGTTGAAGTTTTAATCTGTGTTAGCAAAAATTATCTCTGAAAGTACCTCTGAGCAACATCTTGTAACCTCACGCCAAGTTTAATTGGTGTGGTTTTCCCAAACTCTGAGAAATATAAAAAAAATATTAAAAACAGAACAGGAACCACCTAAAAACCAAGACAAAAATAGAAAGTTTTAACATACGTAGGAAAACGGGTTCTCTCTGATTGGCCTCCGATGGAGTCAGGATTCGTCCGTCCTTCAGATACTGCTGCATCACGATGGAAAGCCTCGCCTCGTTGAAGGTTTCCATGACAACCGAACGCACAGCTTTGTAGTTGGCGAAGAGGTGAAGGACAGTAAAGAGGAAGAAGAGAGAGAGGGTCAGGCTGAAACACACACAGAATGAAGAATTATGAAACGTTTAAAAAGACAAAATGTGTAAAAGTTGAAAATAAGGTCAAAACTTACACTGGATTATCAGTGACAAGAGGAATCAGTAACAGGCTGACCAGCAAACCAGCAAGATTCACCAAAGTTTCCTGCAGAAAACATCAGAGAAATCAAATTTTATTTATTATATCACTCAATTTATGTAGATGTTATTGAAAACTTCAATTACTTTATTAGCTCTATCACTAAAAATACAACATTTAAGTTTAGAATATAACATCAGACCAACATAAAGAGATTTAATACAGAAGGCTCGGTGCAACAAAAATCCCATCATGACAGTAAACAAACAAACAAATAGATAAGTGCTTAACACAAAGTATGACAGAAAATCTATGAAATAAAATAAAAAATCAAATGAAAAAATAAAAAAGAGATGGGGGTTTAACTGTATACACTGCAGGTTTTATAAATAATTTTTTATTAAGCCCATAATGACAAAAAATGAATAAAATACAATACAAAACATTTGTGCTAAGCAAAATATAATAAAGAACTTAATTTAATTTTAAAATGTAGCCTCATTGAAAATATTGCTGGTAGTAAAGACACTTTGACACAGTGACACAAAAAAAAATATTAGATTTTTTTCAGTGTATATGAAAAGTATCATAAAAAATAAGAAGCATTTTTATTAATTAATCAAAAAAATTGCTGTCTTTTCAACAATGATGTTTTTTTCTATCTTACCCAAAGTAAATAAGACTTTCCAGCAGTGAGAGCTGGTTTACCGCATGTTTGATTACACCACATCAGAGCATGATTTACATTTTAATTCACATTTTGACAAAGTGGAGATCACCTGACTGCCATCTTTGGCAGAGATATCCGCCATGTTGTCCCTGCGCGCCTGATGAACAGTGAGTGCAGCTCTGGTCGCTCCTCCGGCGACGCCAACAATAGACTGAAGAAAACAAAAACAGGTAAAAACAAAACAGATTTTATATTGTAATCTGTAAATTATGCAAGTTTATCTATAACAAAAACAAGTTTGTTTCAGACATTCCAGGATTAAAAGTCTTAAAAAGCCTGGATCACAATGCATGAACACCTACATATTTGATTTAGCTTTTTTCATTAAGATTCTGTTAGAACCCTGGAGCTAAACTCAAACTGTAAGATTTCACAGCGTATCTGGACTGGAAATGACAAAAATTCTGAGAGTTAAATGAAAACTATCTCAAATATTGATCTCACAGAGCAGCAAACTAAGCAGATGCTTCTCTGATGTAAATACTTTATTTTTACCTTGAATATTCCTGCAGTGCAAACTATCAAAGTGAAGCAGGCCGGAAAGTGAGGAGCCAAGATTTCCATGAACATTGCAATGTCATTGAGAACATCAGCAAAAAGCCTGAAAAGGAATTACAACATTCAATAATTATGACAATGACAGCTGTAATTATATGAGACCAGAAGTATATTAAATTTCATTTATACCTCCACTTTTTAGCCTCTGAATCCAGCTTACTCCTGAAGTGTAGAGAAAATAATTTAAAGCATTAACAACATTCAATAAATTTGCAAAGCAAATCGTAACTTACCCTTTTCTCCAAGCAAAGAGGATTCTTCCCAGCATGCCAGTACCATCTGCAGATAACACACTCTTTTAAATAACATAATTATTCATGTATTTTTATAGATGTTTGTGTTAAAGTTGCACCTCTTAATAACCAGGTAACTGTGGCTGCAGCTACAGTCGCCTCCTGGTTCCCAACGCCAGCACCTTTGAGGGAAGCCTGCGTGGCCAGAGTCCCGGACAAAGAGCTGGAAAAAGCCTGGAAATTAACAAAAAACTTCAGTCTGGCAGCTCAGGATGTCTAAGATACAGCATTGTTGATAGGAGAAGAAGAGGAGTACATTTCCGCCAAAAAACTTAGAAAATGTTTAGATTAACCTTGGAAATTTTCACAAAAACTGGGAAATTTCTGAATTTGAAAAAAAAGAAAACTCATGCATTTTGAAATTAATTTAAGAAAAAATAAAGAACTTTATAATTTCTAACTTTAATAAATTCTTGAAAAAAACTCAAAAATCAAACATTTCCAAGTTTTTCAAGAAAATTTCTGACAGTAAGAAAATTTCTGAGTTTACTTTCTCATACATTTTTGACTTTTGAAGTTAGAAAATTTCTGATGTTATTTTCAAATTTTCTGAGTATTTTGGCAAAAACTTGCAACATTTTTCTAACTATCACGACCCAAAAGGCGATCATATGATACTCGGTATAGATTTAAATACCCACTGCACCTGAAGAGTATCCCAGAACTGGTACTGAAGATAATCACTGCTGACACTTTCTGGGTATCCTTGGGGCAGAAAGACGCTCTGAAACCAACAGTTAAAGCGTCAAAATCTCAGTTGTTTTTAATGAACTAAACAAACTACAAAATACAAAAGACGCTTACTTTAAAGAATCCAACAACTGAGTTTCCTCTTGGCCCAGCGTTACTCCCATCCCTCGTCCTCTTCATCACTCCATCACTTACTGAATATTTCCAAACCTCCCCGCTGCCGTATCTCTCAGTAGCTAACGTAAAACTTCCGTTTTTATCCATTGTTGGTGTATTGGAGAAACCAGTGTGAAGTATAAATGTACTAGAATATGTTAATGACCAGAATATGTAACATTTAATGTGACTTTAGATGAACGGGGAGTGTTTTGGTTCACTGTCGACGTGTCTTTCAGTTTCTTCACGGTACTTCCGTGTTTACATCCGGGTTCGTTATTATCCAACTTCTCATTGGTGGACGCGGGCGGAAAGGCGGGGCTTAAAAAGCACAAACTCAACCATCCAAGATGACACATTTCATGCTTTTATCAACAACTATATTTGTTGTGGTGTAATAATATTGTTTAATTAGCAAAATATTATACACACTTATACAAATTTTATCCACTGGAAAGTCCATTCTGAAGACTAAAAATGCGTTTTAAAGACCTCCTTTATAAAAACATTTGCATTTTAATTTGTTGTCCTTAATATTATGCTGTATGTCCCAATGAGCATTTTTACTTTTTGTTCTTTGGAAATTTAGAGTTTGAACAAATCTGTGATTTATCGATGTTCAAATGAAAAATGTAAAAACTTGTAATGTTATTTTGCCAGTCACATTCATAGATTTTTTTTCATTTATTTTTCTTGTTAATTGTAAAAGTAAAAACAAATTAATGTAGTACACAATGAGCATTTTTTAAAGAAAAGAAAACAAAAATGCAAAAATTCAAAAAATCAAATGTATTCAGGATTGAATCATAAAAAATCATCCACCTAACCATAAAACCAGTTTGTACTTCCATATAAATACTTACTTCCCTCTGTGCAGTGCTGTGGAAACAATGTTTCCCCCTAATTCTGAATTTTGTTTTGATCCTTTCTATTTTTCTAACACAAATCTAAAATAAAATCAAATAAAGGCAACCTGACTTTATATTAATTATGACATCCTCATTCATTTTAAAGGGGTAAAACAAGTTATTTAAACGTCTTTGTGTTAAAAAAAGTTAATGTCATCATTAATATTCAGTCACATTGACAAGGGAGGTGATGCTTTATGTCTATGTTTTGATTTTGCATATAAAAGAAGAATTTAAGAAAACACAAGTCAGAATTGTGAGATTAAAGGATTCAAGTAAAAAATCTGAGAAAAAAGTAAAAATTATATTCTGAGAAAAATAGTCATAATTTTTAGATTAAAATCAAAATCAGAATTTTGAGATCAACAGCAAAATTCTGAAAAAGTCAGAATTTTTAATTTAATGTGAAAATTTTCAAAAGAACGTCTGAATTTAAGAAAAAAAAACTGAATTCTAATATTAAAATTCAGAAATTAAAGTCAGATTTTATACAAATAGCTGAAAATAGGCACCAGCAGCCCTTTTGACCCCCCGGGGGACAAAATGGTGAAAAAGTCAGAATTTTAAGATTAAAATCAGAATAAAAAAATAATAAATAAATCTGTATTTTGAGGCCAATAGAGTTGATGTTTAGTTTTTCCAGTGGCCCTAAACTGACTCCTCTATAGGAACCATCATGAACGAGCAGCCCAGGCGTCCAGACCCTCCCTGCTCTGTCTACCTGGTGAACAGGTGTGTGTCCGTAGTGGGACATAAAATGTCCTTTCTGTCATCACTGAGTCACCGGGGTGTGAATGAATGTGTCTTATCTCTGTAGGTTAGAGAGCAAACGGAAGAGGAGAGCAGGAGAATCCAGCGGCTCCATAATGGCAGATGTTTCATTTTAATCCGGGTAACTGAGTCTCACCTGAAGGCGCTGCAAGTACCGACACACCTCGGCCTCAGGAATGTGAACCGGGCAGAACTGGGCCCGGTTCACAGTTCGCTTCTTCTTTTTTTTGTCACAGCGACTGACAACAAATGCAGGAAGTGAAAAAAAAATCTCAGGGGAGGAAAAATAAAAGTGTGACAAGTGCAGAGAGAGACGCGGATCAGAGGGTGTGGAGGTTTCAGTCCCGGTTCCGGTCATAGGGAGCGAGTCACCGTCTGAGGAGCCGACTGGTTTCATGTGATTTTTACCGACTGGGAGACGGAGATCGGTTTTCACCGGCAGAAGGAATCATCGATACTTCTTGATTGATCTGATTATTGGACTCCAGGAGTGGATTCCTGCCAAAACTCACCAGGTTTGTGTTTTAATTGAACGTTTAAACGGAGAATCAGATAAATTCTCCTTTTATAGTGTATGGTTTCTGACATTTTAAAGGCGCAGTAACAAATGATAAATTCAGGAAATTGCAACTAGAAATCATTTTCTCCCATAATGTGGCGCCCCTTCTATTGTGGCGCCCTTATATGTTGCTTTTTGTGTCACTGTAATGTAGTGATAAAAACACTGCTTTATTTAAGACAGACATCTGTTTTTATCAGCAGGGAGAATCGCTCAATCACCGATCCTGCTTTATTGATCTGTTTATTGGACTTTCTGTTAAAAATCACCAAATTTCTGTTTAACTGAAGCTTTAAGTAGAAAAAAAATCATATATAAAAACAACAGCCTGATTAGAGGAATGGTAAATCAGGGGTGCAACAATGTTCTTTCTGACACATTATAGGTGTTAAATATTGAAAATGAGAAATAATTCCTCCTGTTTTGCTTCGGCTCTTCCATAAAGTGGCGCCCCCTTTGTCACGGCGCCCCTACAGTCTCTTTGCACCACGGCAATGTGGTAATAAAAACATTGCTACATTTAAGGAAACAAACGATTCACATGACTGGTTCATGTTACACAAGTTCAGAAACATTTCCTAAAACAAAAACCAAACCAACAAAACCCTGGCATTCCTTTGAGTCGTTGACCGATCGATGCACAGATTAAACACTAACTTGAATTTTATGTTTTCGCCATGACAACACACCAGCCCAGCAGGCTGCTGTGTCATTCAAGTCTGTCCGCTTTTTTTCTTTGTTTCTTTCCTGTTTATTTTGCTCCAGTGCCTCGGTACTTTTATGTGACAAACCAAAACCTCTTCAAAAACTCCCATGATCGTTGAGCAACATGCTCAAAATGAGCATGACTCATTTGATTTGTTGCAGATGACCCTGAAATGCAACTTAACCAAATTGATCAGCGGGAATGACATGAAAAAATAGAGTGTTTAAGAGAATCACTATATGTCACTGTAAATGAGAAACTAAAACTTGTCTTATTTTGCAGATATGGCACAGGAAGATATAGAAATAGGGCTTGACACGCCACTGAATCCTGTTCCTGGCTCAGCTGAAGATCAAAAGGACGATGATCACAACATAAATCAAAGCAAGGACAAAGATAAAATAGAAAACTACAGGAAACTGGCCATTTGCAGCATCATCTGTGGTTGTTCCTGTTTGGGATACAAAGCACTGGAAAATTCATTCCAGGTACTCCTGATTTCATTTGGATTAATTTATACATTTCAAATCCAGTTTTTGTTGGTTTCAGTTTCTCTTTGCAGGATCTTCAAACAGCTGTTAGCATAATTACCACAATAAACCATTTTCAACAATATTACTACTACTAATAATGCATTATGTAACTTTTATAAGATATTTTTTACATATTTGTTGAAATTGTGACAATTTGGTATCATCTTTCTAACTATTTTAAAATTTTACATGAAATGTAAATGTAAAAAAATAGCCCTTTTTCTCATTTTGTTTTATTTTGTATATTTAAGATGTCCTCCAGTTCCAGTGTTAAATATTGGAATTTAAAGTTTATTGATCTTTTGGAAAACGTACTTGGATTATTATACCAATCTGAAATAGTCTCAAAACAATATTATCACTTATCGCAATACGTTCTGGGACAATTTATCGTCCAGCAAAACTTATTATTTTGAGTTATAAAAATTAAAGTCCAAGTTTACTTATATAGCACATTTGCAGTAAGCCCAGCTGACTAACATGCTTCACAATATCTGAAGCACCGTAGATAGATGTATGATAAAATAAAAAAACATTAAATTTGATAAAAACATGTTCTTAAAATTTACACTAAAATGTTGATAAAATAACAGGATAAAAGTTACAGCAATTTCTCAGAAAATTTGGATTAAAAACTACCAATATTTGAACACCACACTTAAATGCCACTTTGCAATCTGAAATTCTAATTAATTTGAGCATTTTTGTTAATTTGCATCTCCTGTGAGGTTAAAAGCTAGTATGATGCAAGTTAAAAATAAATGATGCTAATGATGGTAGGAGTGACAATTGGTAAGAGGGGGCCCCAAATTCAAATCTGCCCAAGGCCACAGAAAGGCTTGGACCGGCCCTGCTGGGTATCTTAAACAGTTTTTGGTTACTAATTTTTATATTTTTTCCTCAGGTTGAACATGAAGAGGACAAAGTCAAAAAACTAAAGTATTCAAAAGCGGCGAAAAAGTACGGCATAATCTCCATTGTCACGCTGTTTGGGCTCCTTGTCCTCATCCCTGTGCTGCTAGTTTTCATCTCATATCTTCTGACATTGAGAGACTAAACGACTTTGGCAGAAAAACAAAAAGATTCTGTGAACAACTTTGTATTTTATGGAGCAAAGTAACAAAAACAAAGCTGTGATCATTGACTATCATTAGAAGTTACAACCACTACTTTTATCTCTCCAGTATTTAATGTAAACAAAACAGACAGCATTCATGTTTTATACCCTGTGATATTTATTTAACAAATTCATTTTTTTAAAATGAAGATGTAAAGTCCAGGATTGCCTTGAAATTTGAGTTTGAAAAGTTTTTAACCTCTCTTGAAGATTTTCCACACATCCAGAAAAACTGAGTACTTTCATGTATTTTAATTGGGATTAATTAATAAAAATCCTAAAGAAAGGCAAAATAAACTTTCAAAAGCATACCGTTCTGTAACAACTCAATCCTGAATATAGTTTATTATTACAAGAAATGTATGAATTGTTACTGCGTATACTAAAATCACAAATACAAGAGTAAATAAAACATTTTGGGCTTTCAGAAATAATAAAAACAAATGGCATAGTGGTGATTATGGCAGTACTTCAAAATGACATTATCTTGGCATTATTGCATTGTTACTTTACCTGTATGTTTTTTTTTTATTAAATATGTACAAGTATTGTACTTTTATACAAACGATGTATTTTATAATAAAACATGTTTTTAAACATGAAGTTGTCTTATTAATTCTAAAAAAAGTTTTACAGTTAAGACAACCTCATTTACAGCAACAAACAGCAAAAGTTATGATCCATGTATAAACTTGGTCGTAAACATGCCCACTTTTCATGCATTTCAGTGGAAAAAACTAGAAGAAAAGGCCACAGGTGGAAAATTTCAAACCCAAATAATTGATCGGTTTCCGCCCTGAGCTGAGTAAAGCGTCGTCCAAGTTGCTGGAAACTTATTTGATTGTACATTTGAAAAAAAAAACATATTTACAAACAGTTTATTGTAAATACAAATCTCTTGCTGGCATCCTTTATATATATAAAGCCTTTAATAGAGAAAAAAAATAGCTGCCATTATAACTCAATGATGCTGCAAGGAGATATGAATACTTCACTTCAGAACGAAAATACAAATCAGAGAATAGAAAAAATGAGTGATAATACTGTACAAAATGTCAAGGAGAATTTGTTTTATTTATCTGAAGAGCTTCACCAATAAGAGCAGCCTGGCTGTGGAATAAATAAAACAATTTGTACAAATGTGTATAAATAACTTCTCCAAGTTGACACTTTTGTTCTATGATGCAGAGTTCTTCAGCTTGCAGGCTACAAATGCTACAGATTTATTTAACTGGAGTTTTTCCACAACTTTTAAACACGGACCGGCGCGACATTACGTCATGATCGCACTTACAGGACCAGCATTGTCCGTTTCTCTTTCGTCGCTCTGATCCTGGATCAGCCACAGAGTCAACTCGTCCAGCTTGGAGCACAGCAGGGAGTCCACATCCTGGACGCTGAGGGACGGCGTGTCTTTGGGGAAGCCGCCTCGTCTCGGCCTGGACGAGGACGGACCCGACTTTCCAACACCAACCAGTGGTTTCTTTGGCTTTCTGGCCTCGCCCACTTCCAGGAACTCCAAAAACCGTTTGACACGCCTCGGGCCAAACCAGGACTCGGACCCGTTCTTGCGGTTGAGCGGCACCTCAAAAATGGTTTCCAGGCGGCTGAAAGACAAACCAGTGGACGGGATTAGGACTGAAACTACCCATTACTTTAGTAACTGATTATTCTAGCAATTATTCTGACAATTTATCAATTATTCTCATGATTAATCAATTTGTTTGACAATCAATTAGCCCAACTAATGTGACGATTAATCAATTAGTCTGAGTTAATTGGATAAAAAAATTGCCACATTTTGCAGATTTTCCATTTAACCACTTAAGCCTATCTTATACAATATTACAAATACAACCAAAGCAGCAATTGAACAAATACATTTATCTAAAAATCATTAACATACTATTTAATAATTCAATAATCAATGAATTGTGAACTAAAAAAAGGCCAATTGCTGAAAAAAACAATACAGTCAGAGCAGCAAGTAATTAAAATTGTACAAAATATATACATGCCTTGCATTTAAGAAATAAAACTTCAATGAAGAACTTCCTGCTCTCCATTTATTGATAAGATCCATCAATAATCAACTAATCAGCTCTATTGTTGATGAATCAGAAAGGGCTTTTCAAATGTTAGAAATATTTTTTAGCTGCAGATGATCAAGCATTTTACATAACAGAATATCATCTTAATTAAAAAAGGAATTAAATTTTTATTTGCATCTTTTGATGCATTTTTAATATTGTATCAAAAAGCTAAAATGAAAAATTTGTTGCATATTCTAAAAAACATTTTTTATCCAATTAATCGTCAGAATCAATTGATTAGTCAGTTTCTGAAATAAAGGTTACTTGCTCATTTTACCGGCATTTAGAAATAGAAATAAGTTTGACAATTATAATGGACATAAAAACAGGAGATGTTTGTTTGGCCTGATTTAACTTCAGAGAAAAGAAAAATGGTTTCAACTGTACATGATTCAGGTCAAACATGCAGCACTAATCAAGGAAAAGGGCAATAAAAACCAATCCAGCCCCTTGTGAAAAAATAATTACCCTGAAAATCCAACAACTGCGTGAGTCACTCCTGGCAGCAATAACTGCCTCCATAAATTTGCGATAAGTGGAGATAAATTACATCATGCAAGACTCAGTCACTGCAGTTCCTCCTCGTGTTAAAAATAGGTTGTTATGAAGTAATTATACAACAGAAACACGACTATGACGTCTGTGGTGGACGTTAGACGTAGATTAGACTGGCACTCATCATCATCATCAGCTGCTCTTTTTTAAGCTGCCATCATCACAGGGAGTCGCATTCAGCACTTCTGCTTCTTGGTTTCTTTATTTTATATTCAACACACACACACCCATGACCACAAGCTGCCAGCAGTCAGCTCAGAAAGGCAACGTGCTCAAAGACCAGATCAGGAGTTATTTAAGCAGATGACTCCGGTGTGGTTCTGGTTCGTCGCTGCACAAACACTACAGGGAGCTGTAAAAACTGCGAAGGAGACATGGATGGGTGTTTGAAGATGCGACCAATTATTCTCCCTTGAACAGGTTAGGATAGGTCTATGCAAAACAAGTGTATTTCTTTTTTGCACTAAATCATTCTTAGATCATTAAAATTGAGTCTGCTCAGTTCACAATGAGCTGTTGCAACATCTTATTTCAATCCAAATAAGCTGCTGCTGGCCGCTGTCCTTAAATCGACGTCAACACTCGCAGGTAAAAATGGCTCCAAACAGATGCACAATTGTACAACTGAATAAAAGACATGCAAAATGTGAATTTTGCAAAATAGGTCCTCTTAAAGCGTCGTAACTGGGTTGATATTTTCTATATAAAAACACAAAACATGCATGATTTGTGCTTACCTTTCTGGGGGTTTGCTGAAATTCTTATTGGTGTAAATTTCTTCCAAACTAAAGTCTTTCTTCTTCACCCTGATGGGAGGCAGAAAGAGAGCAATCAATATAAATCATGATGTTTTTAAACTCAAAGCTTCTCAGGGAGCCACTTTGTTCACATCCTGTGGCATTAAAGTTCTTTATTCTGATAAATTGTCAGAATATGAAAGAATTGAGGGATTCTGTAGGATGTAAATGCTGAAGTCAAAGTAGCGGCATAAAGTGGCAGTCTGGTTCTGAACTAAAAACAAAATGGCACCAATAAATGATCTGTTGGCAAACTATGAAATGGCTGCTAGGAACAGATATCTAATCAGATACCTGACCCACATGTACAGTCATAAAAGCTGTTGCTCAAAGGAAATTAAATGGTTACAAATGAATGAAAACTTTGCTGGAATGACCCAAAAACTCAATAAATGTAAAACTTATTTTAGATAAATTGTAAAGATAATGTGTGCGAATCAACTGATTTATTTAAAACTCGGATCCTGCGGCGTTTCTACGTACCGGACTGGTTTGGGCAGACCCATGGGAGTCAGGTTGGTCTGAGGTTTTGGCAACGTTTTCCGAATCCGGATGGAAGAAACCTTTTTTTGTTCTTCATGTTTCTTGACAACCTTGAACAAAAACATCCCTTTTATAAGACCTGCAGAAACATTAAACATTGCTTCCTCTTGTAGTAGTGAGACAGGTTAGTTTTATACTTTTCCTCTCAGCAGTGCCAGGATTTTGTGATAATTTAACAGAAAAACAAATCCATCCTCTGTTGAAAGGGAGTTGTGACCCAATCAAACACTCTTAAACAAATGTTCCTCAGAGGGGAAAAATTATGAATAGATTTAAATTAAAGTCACTTTTCTCCTAAAACCTTCTGTCAACAGCTAGAAAGTTGAAAATAAGGAGACAAAAAGACTATGCTATTATGCTATCAGTTATTAAATTATTGTGTGATTTTTCAAAATAATTTATTTTTCTTCCATTTTTAAAATTTTTTTCATTTGTTTATGTCACAAAATCCTGACATTTCAGCAACGGTGTGAACACTTTAGGGCTGAGACGATTAATCAGATGAATTGTAATTAATCAAGTATTGAAATAATTATCAACTAATTTAGTGTTAGATTAATTGTTAACTGAAACACAAAAAAAGCCATTTGCTAAAAAAACATAACATAAAAACATATTTATAACAGTAATTAGGTCAAAACTGTTCAATAAATTAATACATTTTCCATTTAAGATGCAAAAACAACTTTGTTTTCTCCTGTTATCAACAGATCAGTATATTGATGTTAGACAAGCAGAAAGCACAGTGATTTCACATTTGAAATATTGTTTTTAGCTGCAAATTATCAAGGATACACTCAGCAAGAGCTTTGTATGCAAGAAAGGAATTGAATTTATTCAAATATTTTAAAATAATCTAAATATTCTCCAAAACAGTCCGCAGAATGTGCCAAGGTTTTTAAATCCAATTAATCGCCTGAATAAGCAACAGATTAGTCAATAACTAAAATAATTGCGAGTTGCAGCCTTACTTGTCTCTGTTCAAGTTTAAAAACAAACAAACAAACAAACAGAACCATACATACTCTGATTTCAGAGTCAGACAGAGCTTTTTCCTCTCTCAGCCCAGCGTCTTCAAACTCCTGACTGGAGGAGCTGGTGTCTTCGCCGTCGTCCTCCTCTTCGCTCTGCTGCCTTCTCGCCGCCTCGTATGGCGGCGGATTCTCACTTTAAAGAGTCCAGAGTCGACATGAGAACAGCAAATCAGAGAACTGGGTCTTCAAAAACAACTTCTTATGACAAGTATTTCTGTCTAGTTTTCAGTACACCTGAAATAAGACACAGGTAACTTATATGCAACTTTTCAGCAAGATTTAGAAGCTTGTTTAGAAATTGCCTATTTTGAGAGTTTCTGTACTTTCACTTGGTTTTCTACTGCCTCCAAAACATAACCCTTAAAGTGCTGAAAAACCGTTAGAGGATTATAAGTTAATGCTTTTTTGTGTCTGGAAAATGAGCCGTTTCAAAACCTCCTGGAATATAAAGTCACAAATCTGCAGTCGCTGCCCCGTTACCTAGCAACCCCAGCGGAATTCCTCCCGTTACCTAGCAACCCCAGCGGAGTTCCTCCCGTTACCTAGCAACCCCGGCGGAGCTCCACCTGGTCTTGCTGATATTATTTCGATTTAAAGTGACAAGAGGCCGTAATTCTGAAAGGATCTCAAAATAGGCAGAACTGAAATCTCATTATCTAAGAATGATGTTGTATAAAAAAACATTATAAACACGATTGTATCGCCCATAGAGCTGCCATAACCTGTTCTATATTAAAGTACTACTTTAATAGGGTTAGGGAAAAGTATTAGTTTCACTTATAACATGGGAAAATGTCTGGCAATAAGAGAATCTGACAATGGAACTTGCACTTTTTCATCAGCATTAGGGAATTAATGATTCATCCATTTTGCTGAAAATTAACTTTTCTGTCATTTCAACTGTAGTAAGATATTTGCCTGGAAACCAGAGAGAAAATATTTAGTAAGATTTGGTATTTTTGCAGTGTGGAGACTAGAAAACGTCCTGACCTGGGATCCAAGGAAGCAGCAGAACTAGATCCTAAAGCGAAACCTGGGGAATGCCAAACAGTGGAGCAGGAAGAGGAAGGAGGCGGCGAGGGAACTCGACTGGAAGTGCCGGCATGGGCAGAAGTTGCCCTGCAGTCTGATTTCTTGGAAAGGAAAGCCAGAGGGCTTGAAAGGAAACAGGAGGCGAGGGCAGTGAGGGAGCTGCAGGGGGAATGTACATGAGCAGGTGAAAGGTTGAGGGTCATGGGGTCATAGGAAGCAGATCTTCTGGACGGATACACCTCCTTCCGCAGACAGAGAGGGGCGATCTCCCTCTCCACCTCCACACTGCACACCGTGTGTCGGCGCGCCCGCCGCAGCGACCTCTGATGTAGCGTAGCATGCGTCCGGTGGTGCGGCGAATGCGGAGGGGAAACCCATGGCGAGTTGTCGTGATGGAGGATAAGAACGTCTGGGCACGAGTAGCTGCGCGACAGTCGCCTGGAGACGTTGGTTTCTGAAGAGCGCATGCGCGTTGCGGCCAGGTCTGCGTCCTCCACCGTGACGGACCGGGATCCCTCCTCGGTTTTACACATCCTGCTGTGCAGATCCCTGCATCTCCTCCTTTGGGCATCTTTCCTCCTTCGCCTCGCGTTAACAAGCCTGATGCTCGGACTCCGATTACAATTACTGATTTCAGAAGCTTTGAGAAAAGTTTCGTCTGTCACGGTGGCAGAACTCCCCTGTTCATTTTCCGTAACAGCTGCATCTTCCTCGTTTAAGAATCTAGAATGGACCAGAGGAAGCTGGGGAAAAGTAACTTTGTCAACGGAGATTTTATCTCTGCCATTTTTTGACTGGCTCTCTTTGGTTTTCTTTTGCTCTTCGGCTAAGACCGAGAACTTAACGGCGCTCCTCAGGCTGTTCCTGAGTCTCTTGGACGGCTGGTTCGCTCCTCTGGTTGGTGCGTCTTTGCTTTTAAAACCCGTGCTCATCGGTTCCAGCTCATCAAGCGACAAGGCAGATACCGAACTGCTCTCCACTTCTAAACTCGCGTGATTTGGCGGTTTGCGTTTTAATTGCTTCTTATATGCGTTCCCACACTTGGTCGCATGTGGAATTTCCTTTTCATTGGGACGGACAAGAACTACAGACAACCGCTTTTTCACCAGTGGTTCTGCAGTCGGGCCAGGCATGGTGGTTTCCACATCCATACGATTATCGTCGCTGGATATCATCGGGATCCGTTTGCAGGAACTACTGGGCTTGACTTTTTTGCACTTTGAATTGTTCTGCAACTCACTGCTGCTTTTCTCCAAGCAACTCTTCCTGTCCTGTTCACTTTTTGCTTTTGCGTTTGCTCTTGTCGACGTCACCTGCCTTTTATTATCCGGTTTCTTCATCTCATCTGCGCCTCTCTTTCTCTGGGTTCTTGCACCCTTTGTCATGTCGCCTCCTGAAGCCATGTTCATCTTTTTCCTCTTCACGTCATCTTGGGAAGCACAGTTCGGCTTCAGCCGCCTCTTTGCTCTTGCAAACTTTGACACCGAACACATCTCGGAGATTTGTTGGCACTCCATCTGTTCTGCACCAAAAGAAGGCTTCAGTGGACTTTTGTTTGTGGCGAGGCCATCGAGCTGAAGTTGATTTCTGTCTTTAATTTCAACCAACTCGTATCCGTTTCCCGTGTCTCGTCTTGAGAGTGGTTTTACGCTGGACAGCTTGCCTTTCTGGCCCTCCACAGCAGTGTAAACGTTTAGGTCTGACTCATGCGAGGCACTTTTATGCAACAGGAAAGAGGAGTCAGACGGTTCGCCGGCTTCTTCAGAAGCAACACAAACCAGAGGCACGACGTCAGGTAAGTTTTCATCTCCCCCACTTATTGCACATTCAAAACCGCATGCAGTCCTGCATACCGATTCATTAAAATGCAATTTTTTAGACTTTTTGGGTGCAGTGCTTATCTCACTTTTTGTTTCTGCAGAGTCAACTACACTTTGTGCTTCTGTCTGATGCTTATCACCTTTCTCCGATGTGTGGACGTCGGTCGCATCATTCGCCTCGAAGACGTCATGCGCGGTCAGAGGACTTGTGGCTCTGAAGAGCTTGACAGGAGTCATGACAATCTCACTGAAGCTAGCCATCTTTGATTTTAGGGACTGAAAGAACGGGCCGATCACCCATCCCTTCGAGACCGAGGCGTCTTCACCAAGGTCGCCGCCAGCAAAATCCTCGCATGCGTCCATTTCAGGTAACTCCTGGTATGCGTCCGTTTCAGGTAAGTCCTGGTATGCGTCCGTTTCAGGTAAGTCCTGGTATGCGTCCGTTTCAGGTAACTCCTGGTATGCGTCCGTTTCAGGTAACTCCTGGTATGCGTCCGTTTCAGGTAAGTCCTGGTATGCGTCCGTTTCAGGTAAGTCCTGGTATGCGTCCGTTTCAGGTAAGTCCTGGTATGCGTCCGTTTCAGGTAACTCCTGGTATGCGTCCGTTTCAGGTAACTCCTGATATGCGTCCGTTTCAGGTAACTCCTGATATGCGTCCGTTTCAGATTTGGTAGCTTCAGGGTTTCGCATCGTCTCCTCTACAAGTGGTTTCTCCAAAGGAGAGACAATGTTCTCACTCTCTGTGCTTTCTGAGTTTTTCCACCTAGAAAATGACACGGAAAAAAAGTAAGGCTGAAAAAAATTGATCATCTAAATAATCACCAACTAATTCAGTAATTAAATGTCATTAATTGGAGTATACTAATTAAATTATTCCAGAAAAACTCAATTTGGTAATTAAGCCAAAACAGTACATAAAGTTCAAGTAGCAAAATGGTTGTCCATTTTACAGCAGAATGTGCTGTTTTTGTCCAATTATCAGATTAAAATAATTGTTAGCTGCAGCTCTAGAAAAAAAGATGACTCTTTCTTTGAAAACAACATATTTTTATTTAGTAAACTTGTAAATATTTTCCCCAGCTTTGGAAAAAACTAACATTTAACAAGAGGAATAGCACAGACATGTATGCTGAAGAAAGTTATAATTCACACTTACTCATTTTGGTGCTCTGCTATAGATCTGATTGAAAACCCAACCTGCACATAAACACACATTCACACAGTTTGTTGGTTTAGGTGCAACAAAAACACATTTAACCTGCCAGGGATTCGCTTACATGTGCATGAATGTTCCTTCAACTTTGTTGGTTTCTAAAAGTGAATATTTGTGCAGAAGCTTCAGCTTATTGAGGCTCAATGTGAAAACACACAGCGATATTTCAATGAATGTTCCCAAACACAAATACAAGTTAAAACCCATTCTAGGTGGAAAAAGCGGGTTAATGTTTATCTCCTGGATCAGCAGTTTCCAGTTGATCCCAGGCTTGAGGGAGATTGCTTGGATCAGACGACGCAAAACCTAAGATCTGTGATTACCATATTTAAGTCCAAATTACTTATTTGCTAATGAATTAAAATTTTTTAAATACAAGAATTTCAGACTTTTAGGACGCGTAAAACACGTAGTTTCTCTGATGCATGCAAGAAACCTTCGTTTTGCTTTAGAATAATTAGAATAAAACCTAAATTTATAGAAACAAAGTGTCACGAAATCAGCTTACTATAAAGAAAAACGATGCAAAACCGGGAGTCAGAAAAGCAATGTTTAAATTAGGGGTTACACCAACTGCTCGATTCTTTACTCTGCAATCAATATAGTTGTTCTGAGGCTATTTTCAAGTAATATAATGGTAAAAATGGCAAAATCATGCAAGAACACATTTTCAAAGGTGAACTTTAAATTCTAATGTACTGGAAGACATTGTTAATGTCCAAAATAAACAAAAACCAACAAATAAAATGAATTATTATTATGTCTACATCAGCAAAAGTATCCTTAAAAAAGGGCGAGTAGAGATTAATGCAACAAACTGAAAACTTTTTTCATCTAGTTTTAGAAAAAAAGACAATAAATTATAAAAATGGAAATTATTGAGTTTGTTTTAGTTGATCGTTTATCATTATCATTGTGACAGGGCTGAAACTAAACATTCAAATAAATTTCCAGGAAACATTATTGCTCATTACATCTTTAAATCAAATATTTTAACTTCATGCTTTGTGGTGAAAAATTAAAATCAAATTTGGGTTACACATGTTTTTTTTTTTTATTAAATTTTTTTCTAGATTTAAAGTTTGGGACTTTAGGGTTATGCTATATAAACAAATGTTGCCGTAGAGAATATCTACAACAAATTAAAAGTTTTGCACCAAATTCTTTGCTTCGAAACGCCACCGTGTAATTTTCTAAACGAGGAAATGAGGTCAATGAATGCGAGGTTCACTGTTTAATATCGTGAGTCTGTTAGTAGGTCAGATAAGACACTAGATTGGTTGTTTATGTCGGGTGCAGCAGACCGTGACAGAGGATTAAATCACTTCATTACACCTCCTAATCCGCACACCACAACAACACTGCTTTTTTAAAAGACAAATTAAGAACATTTAACACTTTAATACGACCAGTTTGGTTCCAAATCAGCTGATTTTGTTAAAATGATATGAAATCAAGGAAAGAAAGTTAACCTTGTTTGGTTCCTCATGTAGACGTGTTCTTCCTCCTCTCTGCAGCTTTGACTGTGATGCTTGTGCCTACACAGCATAAAACCAGAAGTGCTCAAGTAGAAGATGTTTATTTCATTTTTTTAAGTAAGGTAATTGGCATACCATGTTTGCCGCTTCTCTTTGCCTCTTTGAGGAGGGCGGATTCGGTCCAGATTGTCTCTGGGCAGCCTGGATGTCTGCACAGTCCAGCTTTTTCGGGGTTCTGGCTCTGATGTCCTGGATGCGGCCGCTCCTCCGGTGTCCAGACGGTCCATCATGAGCACAGCTAAAAGCACAATTAATAACACGGCTTTCTTTATCGCAAAGAAAAATAAATAAATAAAAATACTTTTTTTCAAAAAAGAATGAATTTGGGGTGCCATGAAAACTCACAAATCTGCTAATTGATAAAAAATACACATACATAATCAGAAAAAGACATTATAGATGTAGAGCTGTGAAAATAAGTGGTTCCATGAATTGTTCTGATAAACAACAATATTAATAATAATAATAATAATAAATAACATTAAAGTTGATTTAGTGAAATGCAAATAAAAACTATGTATGGGTGAAAAAACCTATTTAAGAAACATAACAAAATTCAACATTTTCTTAAGAAGTGTTTGTCTGCCACAAGAATAACTACAACACAAAATTCCTCAGAGGTATCAAATACTTAATTATAAGACCACATTTTGTATTGCAAAGTTTTTCTGGTATAAAAATTTGTTTGATATTGATTAAAAAATGTAAAAACTAAGTCTGTCAGAGGATTTGATGTTCTCGAAGCACTAAATACAAGTAATAATGAATTTTCTAACAAAAATATATTCTTGGGAATAAATAGATAGATCCAAATTGCCAAAATTTACAAATAACAATTCAGATAGCTGAAGCTATAAGCAGTGATTGATTATTGAACATAAAGAAAAAAACATTTTTGTTTCATGTTAATCAAATGAGACAGTTTGTGACTAAATCCGATTCTACATCAGCTTTGAAAGATAAACAAGAAGCCAAAAAACAAAAACGTTAAGAAGAAAGCAGCAGCTAAAGCAGCAACCATACCTGGGGGTGACGGAAGAAAGGGGGAGGAGAGGTGACGCAGGTTCACTGAGGGGGGGTGCACTACACACGGGAATTGGGGGAATAGCATCTTCATCCATTGGACAAACTACTTGTGAGAGCGAGTCAGAGGGGAAAGTCAACATCCCATTTGCTCTCTTTCACTCAGCGTCTTTCTCCTTTTCCTGCAGGTCTCTGCAAATCACGTAGGACGGAAACAAAGCAAACGGAACAAAAAAAAAAAAAAAAAAACATGCAGGGATTTACATTTGAACAAAAAAAATAACACCAATAGTCCAAGACTGCGGAGTCGATGCTTACTTTTCTTAAAGCAGGGATAGAAAGTTTACTCTGAAATTAAACCAAAAGAATATACTTTATACAAACAGTAAAATTACATGTACTACTTAAATAAAATTTAAAAAAAGTAAATTAAGAAAATGAATCATTAAAAGAGAGTCAAGTTTAACACACTGTCACTTGTTAAAATGTTTTGGTTGCTGTATAGCTCCAAAAGATTTTCTCTCAATGTCCGAACGTTGTTATGATGCACAACCGTGACAACAGGGTATTGTTTTCAAATTCAAAAACACTTTATTGATCCTAGGGAGAAATTAAATGTTGCATAATTTAAAATTCTTTAAAGAGTTATTGTAGCTAGTGAGGTGTGTGAGTATGATTGCTCTCCTGTAGAGGTCTATACAACAGCGAATTTGAAGAAGCCTCTGACTGAAGACACATTGTTTTTCTAAGGGTTGTCCATAATTGTTGATTTTATGTAAAATCCTTACATAATTAGGATGATTAAAATCTCAAAAGCTTTAAGCAATGTCCTAACTAGGACTCTGATTGGCAGGCTAACCATTGTGATGCTACTGCAATTAGCAATAAAGGACTACAACAATGGATTTCTCTCACTTTCATGCCTTTAATATCTAAAGGAACATGTTCACAAAGACCTAACAGTAATTTGAAGAACATCTGAAATTTAAAGAGATACAAACCATCAGAAGTGTTAATTTATACCTGCAATGGCAGACATGTTTTGTTTTGAACTGCAGATTTCTAAGCACGTTCGACAACAACAAGCACTTAGAAAATCTGAGAATCTTTGAAAGCAGCCCTTCAGAAAATAAATAAATACATAAATAGAGTGTCTTCAGTCAGAGGATTCTTCAAATTTGTTGTGATACAGACTGCTACAGGAGACCTTGCCTGCCCTGAGCCATCAACATCTAAAATTAACTCTTTAAATATTGTTACAATTGAGTTAAAAAAAAAAACAAGTACACATTAAAAATAAAATAAAACCGACAAATTAAATTAACATGGTAGGAATTTAAAATTAGCCAACGAGTTCCCTAATTTTTAAAAATATCTAAATTTCTCAAATGATACTAAAATTAAAGACTTTTTCAAAAAACTTTAAGAAACTTTTCTTAAGCATATTTTTATTTTTAGTGTTTAAAATGAAGGCAGTTTATTCCAACTCTTTGTGTTTTATTGTTTTTAAGTGACCTGCACAACACCTGGGTACAGAGGGAAAAAGTTATCAGCATCCAGCATGGCGGCTCTGAACGCCTCAATTAAACTTCGATAAAACCGAAACATTTCAGGGAGTTCTGAATAAAACCGAACCGGCGGTCTGATCAAAATTGAACGTCGTCTAATTGCTGGAAGGAATGTTCTTCATTTCAAACTTTTATTAGCAAGCCAAAATAACTCTATACTACCACGAACACCTTTGATACAGTAAAAATGCAAAATCTAAATGATTTTAACTTGATGAAGGCAGAGCGTTATTGCAACTCCAAATATACTCTGCAGTTTTGCTACTCCCTATGCGCATCAGTTGCAGCACCAGGTAATAGTCGGAGCCGGGAACTGTCATTTTTCAAAGCTTTCTATGACGTCTGTAAAATTAGCGGAAACAGTAGCACATTATGGTTCACTCGGTGACAGTAAATGACACTAAATAACGTCAGCCGAACTCACCTAAAGCCTTCAACTTGACCGTGGGACTGAATTCGTAACCCGCCGTAAACAAGACATGCCGGACGGACGGATGGACGGACGGCAGCGGCGCCCAGCAGTGACTCGCTAATGTATCCGTTTCTTTACAAATCTAACTACAGACAAGACCAACCGACCAATCAGAACGTGAGTTTGATTCCGCCCGAAACGCCTTATTGAAATCTGACCAATCGCAGCGTGACTTTCAGGGTCGTTGGTTCAGGGCAACCAATCAGGAGCGCGACTGGAAAAAGCTGCTACTTTCTTCATGTCCTCGAATGAACTAATATTTTAAAATTATAATATACTGCAAACAGTTTATCAGAAAACTAATCAATTTAATCACAAGATTAATTTTAAATAAATATATAATTTCAAAATAAGTTCGATCCACTATTTTCATTCAGTTCAATTCAAAAAATACTTTATTTCAATTAAAGCTGCAGGAACTTCTATCATCCGTATCTTCAGAGTTGTTGGTGATGCTGTAGGAAGAATCTCCGGAAGCAGTCAGTCTCGCAACCAATTTGAAGAGGCCTCTGACTGAAGACTGTTGCTGTATACCTCATGACTGTCATAACATATAAAGGAAATACATATCGATAAAAAAAAACAATGTTTTAGTCATGAAATTTCAATTGTAGGACTTTCCACTTGTTTTTAAAGCACAATAAATGGGGGAGGGAGAAGATGCTCATAGTTTAGCATTTGGGTCAATGACATCACAAAAGGTAAAACGGTCTAGAAAACCAAGAAAGTTTCAACAAAACTCAGGTTTCATTTGTCTTCTTTGTGGATGTTAGCTTATTTTGAGGTGCCAAGATGGTTTTCATTGTATCTATTAATGTATATTAAACTATATTTTGTATTGAACCTACTAAAATATTTGGTTATAAGCTTTCCTTACTTTATTTACGCATATATTTTAACGGTGGTGCACTGTCTTCTCACATACACCTCAAATAAGTTGTTGTACAGCTTACGCATAAATACTTGTAAAGGTGGAATAATGGGAGCAGACTATTTGTTTCCAGTGATCTGTGATCAGTTACTTTGTGTGATGTTACAAAAAAATGCAAGAATTTGTTTGTGGATGGGTAGACTTGATTTTGACTTAATATTTTACAACAGAAAATCAAAGTAAGAAAACTGTGTAAGGTAATTCTTAGAGCCGACTAAATCTAAAGTGAGTTGTATTTTACAGTCTAATAACTAGCAGAAGTTAGTTATTAGACTGTAACTCTAAACTATCCTGAAAAACATTTTCTTCAGTACAATCATGAAAAAAATTTGGTTTCAAATTGCTGTTGAAGATATTCCGGCATTGGGATTGTTTATTTTGAAAATGAACATATTTACCACCCATAATATGACCTCTATGCAGGCCAGGACAAAAGTTTATTTAAAAACAACTTGCAGAAAGCAAAAGGCAGAGTTAAAATATTCCATTTTACACCAAAAACTCCGAAAAAAAGCCTGTAAAACGGGAAATGCTGACACAGATCATTGGTTGTGATTCATTTGATGCACGCGATTCATGTGTAGAGGTCAAAATCGATCCTTTTCGAGTTGTAGAACTGAGATCCCCCCTGATCCACCCTCCTGCAGTAGACACCGCTGCTGAAATAGCCTTCATCCACCCAACCCTGCAGAAACAGACAGTAAGAAGATTAAAGCCCACAAGGTCAGACTGGGGTTAAATGGAGGACAACTTTATAATCTAGTAAACGTAATGGGATTTAATGATAACTCTGCAAAAGTAGAGAAACAAAAACACCTTTTAAGTCCTAAGTAATTCATCTCTGTGATCTTATGATTTACACTTAAAAATGCAATCTGGTTAGGTCACAGCAATTTCTACCATTTAAATTTGAATTTATCACAATATTTTACTTCTAGGGTTTAAATTTAAATACATCAATATAGGACTAAAATGATTGATCATATTAATAGTGTTTAAATGATACTGGAACAATTGTCAACTAATTTACTTATCGATTAATTGTTAACTGACTCGACCAAAAAACATTTGCTGAAAGTTCAACACAGTCAGAATATTAATTAAGCCAAAACTGCATCAAAATATATGCATTTGTTTTCTCATATCAACGACCTTTTGCTATCAGTTTTCACAGTTTGATATTAGAAATATGTTTTTAATTGCAGATGCATCATTTGCTTCAAAAGATCAAGTGTAAACTAAAAATGCTATATTTTAAGCAATTAAATGTTTATTTTCTTCCTAAAAAAAGGAATCATTTTTTTTTTGCATCTTTTAATGCATTTCAAATACTGCATAAAAAAGTCTTGAATAAAAATCCGCAGAATGTGTAAATTTTTTAATCTAATTAATCGATTAATTATCAGAATAATCAGTGATGATAATAATCCCTCTACATTACCTGCATCTGTTCGCTGGTAAAGGGCCCATAGATTTCAGACTTCTCTTCGTTCTCCCATTTGTATTCCCACATGACTTCATCACTCACTAAAAAAATACAAATAAATTAATTAAACCAAGCAGATATCAACTAAAAATAAAGATAAACATTTAAAAAATCTGACATAATAACCTCTTTTGTCTTCCTCGTCTTTGTTTTCGGACTTTTCTCCAACCTTCTCGTCAAACTTGTCCCCAAACATGTCGAGCTCATCGTCTTGCTCCTCACCGCCGCTTCGTTTCTGCTCCACCGCTGGCCGCTTGCTGGTCATGCTCTTCATCAAGTACGCCAGTTTTTCATACGTCTGCTGGTAAATTTCAAACATCCCAGATCCGACCAGTCTATCCGCCAGCGCAGTGAGCCTGTCGAGCTTCTCAGTGTCCCGGTTAGGCTCCTCTGTGGGATCTTTGTCTTCCCTCAGCTTCGCCTTCTTTCGTCCGCTGAGGCCTCCTAGCCTCCGGAGGGCGGTAGTGACTGTTTCTCCGGGTTGCAACAACTCAACCACGGCTTCGGTGAGCTGCTGCTGCGTCAAGGACGCCAGCGGATCCTCTGCCGGTTCGGCCTCCTCTTCCTCCTCCTCTTCCTGGTCGGCCTGCTGCTCTTCTCTCTGTTTTTCTTCCTCAGCCTCGTCCTCATCGCCAGCTCTGCGTTTCCGTTTGGCAGCAAGGCCTTTTTTCTTTTTCTTGAAAGGCTGCTCTTTTATTCTCACCTGCAAGAAAAGCCTTTTAGTACATGTTTCAAATTGCTTCACTGGAAAAACACCAAATACTTTTTAGTTTCTGCTGCAAATATCTTAACTTTTTCATCAATATTCATTAATCATCACTTGACCACACTCCTATATCTTGCTGAAAATGGATTTCTAAGGTAGTTTTTTTTCCTATCTCCATTGTACATTTTCAAGACATTTGCAGTGTCGTAAAATGTGGATAAAACAAACATAATGTTCTTTTATATATGTATATATACCCAGTCTATGTTGTCAAGCCAGTTGTCTCTAATTTGTGTTTCCTTTTTGATGAAATAGTTTCCCTCGGAGTCAAAGTGTCCTTCTTGCATCTCTTCTTCCAGATTGAAAGGGGTAATGGAAACTCCTTCGTCATAGTCAATTGTTGCTCCTTCTTGGCCTAAAAAACAAAGTTTCCATTGACAGATCAAACAAATCCCAACTATTTTTTATAAGTTAAAGCATAACCTTGCTATTAATAAACTAAAAGAATGTAATTAATTTAAGTTTATTTGATAGGATCAGAGACAAATCAACAGACAAACAGCAGCCCCATGTTTGCATCATAGTTTTGGACTCTATCTAATAATTAGATTATGTTTAAAAGCAATTACTTGCATTAGATTTTATTTAGGGATAGCAAAGTCATGGGGGGTGAATATAAACACTTAGTAACACATAAGAGTTTTATTCATAAGAATTGTTTTTCCACTCTGACATCTTGCTTCATTACATAAAATACCAATATAATATACTTACATATGTAAAAAATGTGTGCGAAAATTGAAGTCCTTGAAAATAATTTTGTAAAAGTTTCAGTTAAAATATTGAACAGCACCTACCCTCCACATCATCAGTGTCGAGAATATTGTATTTGCTGCTCTCTGCGCCGTCGCCATCGTCCTCTTCGTCGCTGTCCAGGGAGTGTTTCCCTTTAAATCTGGAGCCTGGTCCACTGACAGCCTCAAAGTTTTGCTTCACCCGAAGGAGAAAAGCACAAAAACAATTGTTTTATGAAAGAAAAGCATCCAGGTCAGCTTATTTATGAAGCACATTAAAAACCTGCCAAAGAATCACAAAACTAAAATAAGAGAGCTCTTCATTTTTCAGGTGATCAGAACAGAGAGGTTTTTAACTCGACTATTCCAGTGTGGTAAACAAGCAGGAGTATCAGATTTCTTACGCTCAGTCAAGCGAAACAAATTAAAATTCCTCTCCATCGTGTAAAATGTAACAGGAACAGCTTCATTAGGCTGTAAGCAGTTTGACTTCCAGACAGACAGACATTCAAGTTCTGTTAACTGAAAGCTAAGTTTAGACATGCCCATAAATAGATGCAGCCACACATGAGATTTACAGCTACAGAGAAATCTGATATAAACTCACTGTGGCGTTTAGTATTGTGCAAAAGTTTTAAAGCTCTCGAATTTATTTTTAATTTTTTTACTTTGATTTTACAAAAGCAACAGCTCTCGAGATGGTTTTTGACAGTTTTCCTTTAAAATAATTTTCTGTTCAATTCTTCTATCTGACATTAAGAGAATGGTGGAAATGTAACCCTTGCTACATAATTGTATATTTTTAAAGAAAACTGATCCAATCACTGAACCTTGAGGTACTCCGTACAAGCAAGTCAGGTGTGTGAGGAAGATTTATTAATATGAGTAAACTGGAATCTGATCACAACCAGATTATCTGAGGCTACTGAAATGATCATTATTGACCTTTTGAAGCCTGACTAAAATGTTTGATATTATAAATGCTTCACCAAATGATTAGCCGGAATTTCATTTAACTTCTCATATTACCAAATACAATCGTTTTTCACATTATCTGACATCACCACAGTAATCCTCATTGTAAAGCACGCAGTTCTAGTGAAACATATGCAGGCATTTGATAGATAAATTTCTTTTCAACATGTTTAGGATTATTTAACCAATCTGACAAGTTATTTTTATTAACATAACTCGTAGTCTGCTTCAAATAAAAACAACATATCCTGCTCTATTAAGCAGTGTGTTAGCAAATAGTTCACTGGCTGCAGCCGGAATAACGCTCTAATCTCTAACAGTCACATAAAAGAAGCACCTTTTTACTCAGGCCGTCATCTTCCAGGTCTAGCTCCCCGTTTCCGTCCTCAAATGTGACTTTTCTTTTCGACATGGCGCTACGGAAGGACATAAGGAGACTTCTTTACTACCGCAGGGCAGCTTAAAGGTGAGTTAAATCATCAGTGGATTTGTAAATTAAACATACAGCTTGAAGCTACAACGTTAGCATCGTTAGCTCAAAATAAAAACAACACAGCGCATGGAGAGCATGTGAACCGTAAATCAAACGCTTTTTAGAGATTAAAAGCCGCCAAGAGCTTAAATATTAGATGCACACCAAATTTAAAACGTATGTTTGGGAATTACATTTGTTGAATTAATAAATATATGAAGAGTGGTAAGAACCTGATGAAAATAGTTCGTTTTCGTTTCGTCGTCGTTGCACCTTGACATTGCTCAACGAAACAGACCTGACTCACTATCGCCCCCGTCTGGAAAGGAGTGCAAGTAACTGCTAACTTAATACAACATGACGTTTAAAACACAACTGTAAAGCAAATAAAATGCAGATCAACATTTTTTAAACAAACCTGTCAACTTTTAAATAATCTAACATTCTAAAAGTAAAAGACTATCATTTGAAGAAATCTTGAAATCTTGCAATCTTGAAAGATGCAATCTTTCAAGATTGCATCTTGAAAGTTGATTTTTGTGAATCCTAATGTGACATTTGTGAAAACTTTTATTTATTCAGAAAAACAAAGACCATGTTTGTAGAAATGTTGGTATTGTGTTTGGGTTTAATCAATATTCATCCATTCCGGTTAAGACTGGACTCAACTACTGAATGCAGTCCTTTTTAAACAAAGCTTTTAGTTTATTAATTTTATTCTAACTGAAGAAGACAAGAAATGGGTAGTATTTATATGTTTATTTACTTTGCCAATGTATTCAAATTGTAACTTCCTAGAAAAATGTTTTATTCAGTAGTCAGTTCGTTACACTGCTATTACTGGGTACAGGGATTTTCTACACAGAAAGTAAAAATTTAAATAAATGAAGATGATCTAATTTATTTAATTATTATTAATCATTTTTAATACTGTGATTACTAATATTTATAATTCATATTCGTATAATTGAGTATTGTTATCATGAATACTATTAATTATTGTTACTATATTATTATTTCTATGTTTATCTACCATATCCGTGTAACGTCTTGATTCCAAAAAACTTTTGCTCTTTTTCCATTTTTTCTTACTTCCCTGAAATTAAATAAAAATATTCTATGTAATAATTACTGACATCTATTTTAATAACTTCTTTGATAATTAAACATCTATAATTTAATGTTCTTGATTTTTTTGTTGCTTTTTTCCTATATACCATCACTGACATTTTCTTAATTACTCAGCTTTTAAAAAAATAAAACTCATTTTATAATATGAGCTAATTTTGCTTAATGCATGTGAAAAATCATTTTTTTCAGATAAGTTTTAACCCACTCATTGACAAAAAAGAAAAGCTAAATATGTAAGTAAGTGAAAGCAAAATGCACTAAAGTATTTTTATTTAAAAAATAAAAACTAAAGACAGTTACAGTGACTCAGCCCTGAACATGTGGAGGTCCATAACAAAAATAGCCACATTTCCAAGAGGCCAGTGAACGTCTCTCTGCTGGCTTTCTGCATAAATACATATGAACGCATCTCTGTGTGACTCCCTGAAGAATCAACCACCTACACGAATCTTAAATAAACTTAAAGGAGGAAGTGAGAGAGAAACCTAACAGCGGTTCGCATCTCACTTCCAGCTTCTCGTCAAGCTGCATTTTTAAATTATTTTTTTCAGTGACTTGTTTCAGCCGCGTCCGAACCCATCAGCTCTCTGCAGACTATAATGTGTCGGGGTATTGTTACCAGGAAGTGGGTCGGGTTATTTATATTTCAACGCCGTCCCCTCGTCCTCGTGAGAGAACCAGTGTTAGTAACCTGAAACTAAATGTTCAAGCGTTGTCTGGTTCTGCTCGAGTCAGCGAGCTGGGAAACAACCGGTTCGACTTTATCAAGCGACAGGATGGGAAAGAAAGAGGGAAAAATATTAATTAATTGATTGATTGATTGTAGAGAGGCTGAGAGAGCGAGTTGAGAGATTCAGGTAAGTCTGAGTCACTGTTTATCATTTTTTTCTTTGCACCAAATGATGGAAAACTGGATTAAAAAGTAATCAAGTGCTGAGTAACTGATCAAGTCATCAATAACTTCATATTTACAAATTATATCATCAGGTGGACCAAAACATAAAGGTAAGTGGAAATTGCAATTATTCATATAAGTAGCAAAAAAAAAAAAAAAAAAAAAAAAAAATCGGGAAAAGAAAAATTTTCCAAATCTTTTTCTTTCAATAAAATTTTTTATGAAAATTTCATAAAAACTGCAGGTGTGTGTTAGTCTGCTGAATTTTGGGTGAAAATAAACCCAGACATTTTACTCAATTAAGAGTAGAGATACTTAATAATAAAATTAAGTAAAAGTCAAAAGTACAGTTTAGTAAAAATACTCCAAAAAGTAAACTTTTTTTCCCAAAATATTTTCTTGAGTAAATGTAATTAAGTAAATGTAACTAGTTATAACCCAACTCTGGAAGTAGATAAACCATATTAACTTGTTGCTTTTATTGCGGCTTAACGGCGTTGTGTTTGTAGGAATTTAAAAATCTGCCCTTAAAACTGTGAATGTTTGATTTTTCAGCAGTTCAGTGATTTATAAATGTATTTTGTGTTTTAGGAGTCAGAATGAAGCTCCATGAAAAGATTCTGACCCATTTCCTGTCATGCACATCTCCAGTGGATAAGGAGGGATATCTCTACAAAAAGGTTCAGGACAGTAAACCTCTCACCACATTTTGATTATCTGACAATATGGTCAGATAACATAGAATAATTGTTAGTTTACAAATCACTGAATGGTTTAGCACCACAATGCATCAAAGATCTGCTGTTGTTGTATCAACCTTCCAGACTCTCAGGTTTTGGTTCTGGTTCTGCTCTGCATCCCCAGAACCAGAACCAAGAGAGGAGAAGCAGCTTTCAGCATCTATGCACCAAAAATTTGGAACAAACTTCCAGAAAACTGTAAAACAGCAGAAACCCTGACTTCCTTTAAATCTCAACTAAAAACACAGCTGATTAGAAATGTATTTGACATATAATATGTAACAATGTATTGTTTATTCCATGATGCATTACTTTGTGTTTTTGTGTTTATGATGTAAAGCACTTTGAAATGCCTTGCTGCTGAAATGTGCTATACAAATAAAATTTAACTGATTAATTGCTTGATAGAATTAATATCTAATTCTATGTTTGTTTGTTTTTTACTAATTTAACAGAAGGAGAGAAATGCCACTTACTACAGACGCTGGTTTGTGCTGAAAGCCAACCTGCTGTTCTACCAGGAGCGTCCGGCGGATCGCCACTTTCTGGGCGTCATCGTGTTGGAGGGCTGCACCGTCCAGATGTTGGACTCTGACGGGTTTTTCCCCTTTGTGCTCCAGTTCGGGTCCGGACTCAAAACCTACAGGTTTGCCGCCGGAGACGCTCAGACTCAGGGGCGCTGGGTTAAAGCGCTCTTCCTAGCCAGCCACTCTTACCTTTCCAGGCTGGTGAGAGACCTGGGGAGACAGTATGAAGGTGTGTCTGTAAATATATTGTGTTTTTTATTATCATTCTTTTGGATTAAATACTGCAAAAACACAAAATCGTTAAAAAAATTTTTGGCCTAGTTTCTAGTGTGAATATCTTAGTACACTTGTAATAAGGCAAAGCTAATCTACAAGTAACTTTTCATCAATATGAGATGTTGTTTTAATTCAATAATTTCTTAGCATTGATGGAGCTGCACTAGTTTTACTCAAGTAACTCAAGGAATTGATAATCAATACTAATATTGATTAAATAGTACTTATTCCATTGGCAGATTGTCTCTTATAGAAGGTGGGTTTTTAGCCTTCGTTTAAAGGAACTCAGTGTTTTGGCTGTTCTGCGGTTTTCTTTTCAAATTAGTGGAGCATAAAAAATTCTCAATGTTTGGTTCTGATTCTGCAAAATAGACAAAAAACAGCAGACCCGAGAGGTCTAGAGTTTTTCCAGATTTTGTCAAATGATCCTGGAAACGTTCTTCAGGTGATAGAAGGCCAACTTTGTAACCGTCTTTATGTGACTCTGAATGTTTTGTCGAAATTCATTATGACACCCAGATTAATTGCTTGGTCTCTGCTGATTCTAGATGGTTCCTCTTCACATCCAAATATAAAAACTTCAGCTTTGCTTGTATTCAACTGAAGCTCAAAAGCTGCCACTCACTTTGTTACCTGCTGTCTGACCTCAAAGGAAAGTAAAATTCACATTTTGTATTTCCACTTTGGTCTCAACTGCTTTTAAAAACTGTTCAGTTTTAGGAAATAAATTAATGTTTATTGGTTTCTGGAAAATTAGTTATTTAAAAAAACCTACAAATTGTTAAGTCGCACTTCGCCATTACCTAGAAACTCAAATAAAGCTCCAGCACGTTTGGTCAGCTGGTTTTACCTCTGTATCCCCTGTACAATGGCTGCTGGAAAAGACAAGTGTTTTGTCGTTCTGCCACCATCCTTGTCTACTAAAATGGCCTCCAGAAACCACTTCCTATATTCTTGTTGGTTGTGCCAGAGGCTCCACTTCTGCTTTTCAAAGATGTACAGTTCTATTATTGTGGATTTGTTTGCAGCCATTTTTGTGTGTGAGTTTAAACATTGATTTTGGGACGTGGCCAGCAGCAACTTTTTTGGATTTAAGGTGACAAGATGCCCTAAACCAGCTCAAGACAGGCATAGCTAAACATTCTTATCTTAGAATGATTTTATACAAAAAATAAAATTTATAAATATTTGTTTTGTAGACGTCATAAAGCTACCTTAAACCGTTCAGGGAAGCATAACAGTCACCTTTAAAATTAGTTTCTTGATCTGAAACTGATCTGAAAAGCTGTGCTGCTATTTCCAAACACGACTAAAAATGAACACTAATAAAACTCTTGCTACGCATCTTTAAAACACGTAAAGCAACAACTTTTAACCTGTTTCTTCTTGTTCCTTCAGAAGCTAAACAGCAACAAGACTCTACCAACTCCTGCTCCTCTTTCAAAAGCCTCAGTCCGCCCACCAACAGCCTCCTGGTTCCAACACTGGGACCATTTTCAATTGTCAGGGAGGGGAGGAGCTTCAGCGCCAGCGCTGCTCTGCCGCCACCATCCATGCCTACTAAAATGGCCGCCAAAAAGTCGCCCAAAAAGTGGCCAAGGAGAAACGCTCACGTGACGCCTCTCAACGGACCGGCGCCGCCGTACGGCGAATGGCCTCTGGTGGGATCCGACCCGCTTGTGGAGTTCAGCAAACTTCATGATTTTTATGGGCAGGAGGTTCAAAAAGCAAGAGAGGAGTGGCTGAGGAGTCGCCAAACTGAAAAGGAGCAACGTCAGAACGATCTAATCGATCTGGGCTGAAGGAAAGGCGCTTAAAGGGAACTGAGATGAAGCTATTCAGACAGGAACTGGAACATTGTGAGTCATCCTGCTCTGACTTTCACAGAGTTTGTGGCTCAGTAACTCATTTCAAATGTTTTATTTGTTCATAACAAAGTGATATTTTCCTGATTTGACTTAAAGAAAAAATAGAACTGTATTAAAAAAAAGTTCTGATCCTCATCTGAGTGAATTTGAATCTGCTCTCTTCAGATCACTTAATGATAATTACATCATAGATAATTAAGAAAATGATCAATAAAAACAAAAAACATACCAAAAATGACAATAAGATACCAAGAAATTAATAAAACAAATAGAAAAATTTGAGATGCAGCAATTTCCCAAAAATTCAAATCAATAAAGTTAGATTTTGTTTTCCTTTTATTTCCTTTTTGAACTGTTATTAGGTCACCAGACATCAACCTGCTTCTCACATTAACAAAATAAACTGGTTTAAATTAATTGTGCTAGATTTGTGCAGTTAATAGACAACAAATTGGTTTGGTTGTGTTGATTTGGACTGACACGTTGACCTTTGATGACCTCTGGAAACATTTATCAATATCTTTAAAATGATAGCAGCACAAATTAATATTTTTGCTGCACAAACCTTCATCAATTTCAATTGATTTCAAATTTAATTAATGTAAATGATAATTATAACTTAATGTTTTGACAAGATTTGGTGCAAAATTTACTTCTGAGGGGGAAGACAAGACAATTCAATTGGAAAAAATGCTTTATTTAACATGTTTTTATCCACAAAGAGTCATGGTGGGAGGTGAAGCCCTGGGCACCAAGGTTCTCCAGTAGCAGTCAGTCTTCCAACCAATCATAAAAGGTCTCTGACTGAAGACCCGTACTATATAGCACTCCTAGGAACGTAACAGCTCACGGTTTTGGGAGGGGAGACAATATTTCTCAGCACCGTGTTCTGGATGATGTTAGCAAGCACTGCTAATCCACCTCATTTGCTTTTGCAGCCTCTCTATAAATCACTATCAGGCCATATATTCCAAGAACCATCATTTGCAGTTCTTGTGGGGTTTGGTGTCAGAGTTCAGGTGTTATTTGAGCTTTTGAAAAGCTAATCAGCTTCTCCAAGTTGTGAAAAAAGGGAAAAATCTGCCATGGTTACGCATAATAATGACAATCCGAAACATGAACTTCCAGCTGCATGGCATCCAAAATCAAAGGGAATAACTGTCCAAATATGCAACATATCGACCCCCACAAACCCGAAAAAAAAAGATTAAATCAGAATTAACGTAACAAAGCTGCTCCAACATCCGAGAAGACAATAATGGAAAATAATATTTTATTTTAATTTAGCTGTACACATACTTAGCTCAGTACGTAGCTGGATCTGTGTGGAAACATGAGTAAAATGCTAAAAAGTGGTGTTTTGGAAGAACTGAAAGCTTGCAGTAGATGGTTGCCACCAGCAGGGGGAGCTGCAGGAGAGGGAACTAAAAACCTGGTGGAACCACCGAGTCTCTGAAGTATTGTTTTTCTTTCTTTATTCATAATTGAACATCTGGAACATCAAGAAATTAAAACAGATTGAATCGAAACGGGAGTTAAAAGCAAAATAAATCAAGCAGGACATTTTAAAATTGGATAATAACTGAGCTGCTGGAGAACATAATAAAATCACAGCAGCTTCTATACATAGCACTGTGAAAAAGCTTCAAACCATGCCTCCTTTTCTACTTTATTTTACACTGTATTGTAGTCTTTTTACATTTTCTTCAATCCAAGAAGTCTTAAAACAGTAAAAAATGCCTTATTGCAGCAGAATAACCCAAAAAAAATGCTAAAAAGTTATGATCTCCCAATAAGGCAAAGATGTCCCAGATTTAAGAATAATTCTAAAAAAAAACTATTTCTGCATAATAAATTGAACGGAAGCATGATTTATTTTTATCTATCGCGTACTAAATCATGACTTCCTGTTTTTTTTGTGCTAAAAATATAGAGGTATTATAAAGTTCCACTATGTTTGAGGTGGAGCCAAGTTTATATAGATAATGTGCAGTGTGATTATCACTGTACAGATGTGGACAGATTCATTTCCTCAAAATAATTAAAATAATATTTTAATTCAGTAATTTCACAATGTAAGAACAATTACATCTCTTGCTTTGAACAACATAAAAAAATTCGAGTTTTTGGCTAAATCCGTTTTATGCTTAAGTAAATAAAGCATTTTTTTTTATTTATAATTTTTTTTTTTTTTACATTTAAGATTAGCAACAAAAAACTTCCTGTTTTCCAGAATTGTAAGCATGACACAGAGTCCCTTTTTAGCCATTTGTCACAAGCCTGGACACCCACAGCAAAGATATATTTTAACAGAGAGGTTAAAAAATACCTGAAAGTCTCACGGTAAGGGAACTGCAGCAGAAAGTGACATCTTGCAGTCAAAAAAGCCTTTCCAGTTCAATTATTATAAATGTAAACTTGGAGTTTGCTTAGCTTTAATATGACTTTGATTTGTGTTCGTCTCACTGTGCTACTTTCTCCTACTACTCTCCAATTTTTCATAATTTCTAGGTATTTAAGTTTTGTTCTTTCTGTTTCTTTCCTTCATTGAAGCTCAATCTGGTTCAGATGCGTAATGGAAAAATTATACATGATAATCTTAAAATGGCAAGAGGATTTTGTGACGAGCTCCACAAAAATCTTCTGAATCAAATCAATAGTGGATAACAATAATTAAAAAAAAAACCTTCACACTTCTTTTTTACTTCAATTTGGGTCTCAACTGCTTAAATATATCTTACCATTACAGTAAGATATATATGCACTCCAAAAATAATTTAAACTGACTTTGGGACAAAAAAATTGTTTTATTTGTATTTTTTTAATGTGGTCACCACAGATGACTGATTTGTGTAAATTTGTAAAAAAAAAAAAAAAAAAAAAAAATATATATATATATATATATATATATATATATAAAAAATAAAATTCCCTTCTCACCCACCGCGGGTGGTTCTTATCCTCTGAGCTCGGGTCCTCTACCAGAGGCCTGGGAGCTTGAGGGTTCTGCGCAGTATCTTGGCTGTGCCAAGGACTGCACATTTCTGTACTGAGATGTCTGATGTTGTTCCTGGGATCTGTTGTAGCCACTGCTCCAGTTTGGGGGTTACTGCCCCGAGGGCCCCGATGACCACAGGCACCACTGTGGTCTTCACCTTCCAGGCCCTCTCCAGTTCTTCCCTGAGGTCCTGGTATTTCTCCAGTTTCTCGTGCTCCTTTTTCCTGATGTTGCAATATATTATATATATATATATATATATATATATATATATATATATTTCTGCTGTTGGAACTGGATAATCAGCTTTTGCTCTTTAGAAACAACAACTTTGAGTCTTTGATAAACACATTATCACTGTCCTCTCTGTACAATGGCTGCTGTTTACCATCCGGAAACCACCTGCTGCCTTCTTCTCGCTTCTTCTGCTGTTTAAAGTTTTATAATTAGTTGAATAATTGCGCATCTGTTTGCAGCTGTTTTCACATGCCGTGTAAACATTGAGTTTGTGGGCAGGACGCCCTAGAGCTCATTCTGAGCTGACCCAACAAAAACATAATTATCTAAGAATGATGTGGTGCAAAAAAATGTACTTGACCTGTCTTGTATGGACCATAGATCTATCCCAACCTGTTCATGGAAGCATAACTGGTCTACCTCCAGCAGTCACTGGGCGAAAGCTGGGAAACACCCTGGATAACACAGAGATAAACACGAGACCAACAACCATCCACACACATTCAGACCGAAGGGTAACAGGTCACATTATATATTATTTATAGAAAACATTCCCTTCTCTTCCTTCAGTCGGTCTTCTCCACAGGTCAACCCAAGAGCTTCTTCACATTCCAGGTCCTACAGACTGGCATACCGATGGTCTAGAAAGTGATGGATGGTGATTGAAGACCGCGGAGGAGCGTGTCGCCTTACAGTTTCTGCAGAGAACAAACATCTGTATGGAAACAGACGTTAAAGTTGCATGTAAACATGTGAAAACAGTCTGGCATGTCTCAGCCCCCTCTTGCTATTTCTAAGGAAACACCAAAGAGAAACTTTTTTTCACTAACATAATAAACATATTGGATTTATTTTGAAAAACTCACAGTGAGAGTGTCAAACTAATTTAAAGCGACCATGTTTTTTCTAGAAAATTTCTAAAATTAATGTCAAAACTTCTGCTTTTCTTCAGGGAAATTTACTCTTCCGCCTTTTTTATCTGCAATAATACGCTGTCATACATATTTCCATTAAAAACGTAACCAAAGATAACTAAGATTTATTTTTTTGCTCTGGTTTACATAACAACTTCAGTGGCAGTTGTTCAACGATGGATTTCCAACATGAAACTGGCTAATCCAGATTACAGCAGCAAGAGTGGAAACCAGTAAAGAACAAAGACAAATGAGATCAGTGGAATCGCTCATAATCACAAACACAAAGCAAAAATAACATTGGCTTTCAATCAGGTTTATTTTGCTATTCTGGTTTCTCTGAGCTGTTTCTATTCGCCTTGCGGGTTGGCGAATAGAAACGCGCCAGAAATCCCCCGATTTAAGCTGAAGAGGAGCAAAAGAGCAAAAACTAAACAGCAAAAATTTACAAAACTTTTCACTCGTCAGGCAAAAAACACAGAAAAAAACTCAAATATTTCTTATGTAACATGCAATAAAGCTTTTTACATGACTTTTATGGTTTTTCACACTTTAAAGATTACTTCTCTGAATTTTTAGGAAATGAGCAAAAATTGTTTTAGAAATTTTTATCTAGTCATGATTTAGTCATGTTTTGATTTATTTGCAGCCAAACATTAAGATTTTATTTAAATTGATCTAATTTATGTAATCAGCAGTGAATATTTCTTATCTGATGATAATTGGTGAAGATCACTTATTTTTTTTAACATTATAAAGAATAATTTTATTGGTATATTGTATGCCCAAGATATAGTTATGTAAAGCTAACTGCTAATTGACAAAAATCCACTGATTGTTTTTTAATACCTCACAGGATTTTGGATTTAAATTAAAATCTTCACTGCAAAAATACAAAATCTCACAAAGTTTTTTTTGAGTTTTTTAGAGCAAATCTCTTAGTAACTTGAAATAAGACAAAACTAACTTAAGCGTAACTTTTCCGCAAGATATAGAAGATTCCTTAAGAATGATGAAAAAATACCAATTGATAAAAATACATTTTCTAAGGGAAATATTCTAATACTTGTTAAAATAATATAAGGGAAATATTGACTTAAAAATACTATTCTTTGCAGTAAAGTTACTTGTAAGTTAGTTTT